GGCCTCGCCCCCGCGCGCCGCCCCCTGCGCCCCGTGCCCTGCGCCCGCGGCGCCGCCGCCGGAGGGGGCCCTGCGGGAGTGCGCGCCCGTCTTCCGCAGCATCCGCTGCCAGCTCTCCCTGCAGGACCTGGAGGAGTTCCTCGAGCAGGGGAGCTCGGCCAGCGACGAGGGCAGCAGCGCCAGCGGCGGGAGTGACCCCGGCCGGCCGGAGGAGGAATCCGGGCTCCTTCGGCACCTGCCCGGGAGGCAGACCGGCCCGGGCGGAGACGCGGCCAGGGACCCCTGGGCCGGGCCAGACGGAGACTGCCCCGAGCCCCCGCAGGCTGGCCCGGCGGTGCCCTGTGTCGGTGAGAGCGTGGCCACGCCGGACAGAGCCATCCCGGAGCACCTTGCCTTGCTCAGACGGGTGGCCGCGAGAGCCTCCACCAGGACGAGCAGAGATCTGCCCAAGCCTCGGCAGGCGGCCAGGCTGCCTCCCCCAGACCTGGACGCCTGCTCAAGCTCCCAGCGGGTCCCAGAGCAAGGAGCCTGGGCGAGTGCACCCCAGGCAGAAGGGCTGGGCCCTGACCCAGGGGGGCTGGCCGAACACCACTCCTCCTTGGTTCCCCTGGAGCCGCGCGAACACGCCTGGATGGTCCAAGTGGCCACGGGCTCCTGGATGCAGGCCCGGGCGCTGCTCCTCGAGGACCCGCATCTCGCCACCCGCAAGGACTTCATCTCAGGCTACACGGTGCTCCACTGGCTGGCCAAGCACGGGAACGCCCAGCTGCTGCAGGAGTTTGTCGCCAGTGCCCAGGAAGCCGGGGTCCCCCTGGATGTGAACGCCAAATCCGGCTGTGGTTACACCCCCCTGCACCTGGCCGCCATGCACGGGCACCCGCTGGTGATCAAGCTGCTGGTGCAGAAGCTGCGGGGCTGCGTCCAGGTGCGGGACAGCAGTGGCAAGAAGCCCTGGCAGTATTTGAGCAGCAACACCTCGCGGGAGGTGTGGAACCTCTTGGGAGCACCCAGGAGCAAAACCACCTTCCCCACCCATCCTGCCGCCACAAGGAACTCCTCGTCCCCCACCCGGAAAGGCAAGAGTCCTGAACTGGCCAGGAAAATTAGCCGGAAAGCTTCCTTGGCAGCGTACCTGAAACCTCAGCACATTAAACGGAAAATGGCAAATAGATGCCCACCGTTACAGGAGCAGGAGGAGCACAGTGCCTGAGGACTGCAGCAAGAGCAGTTCGGCTTTTGGGATCTCCGACAGACAGAGATTCCGGAGGGTTTTGTTGTCTCAGCCTGTCTCCAAGTGGAATGACTGTATTTGGCAAGGACTGGGGTGTGTGTGCGTGCGGGGGGGGGGTCCTTTATTTGTGCTGAACAGGGTTTTTTCTCCCTTATTTATTTAACTGAGTGGGACAGAACAGACACCATGCACTTTAACCCTAGACGGAGGCTTGTAGCATGGCCACAAAGATCAATCATTCCCTTTCAGGCCTTCTGCAGCTCCACTTTAGCTGTTCTCAGGTCCCAGAGCAGCAAAACTACACTGCTGATATCTCTGCTGTAGCTTTTTCCAGGATTAGGCTTGGAGGTATCCCTTGGTTTGCCCTCCTTGGTGCTGGCAAGGGCAAAAGCTGCCCCTTTGGGGAGTTGGCTTTGATGGGTAAGCAAAGGGGCTAATGCTGGCACATTTTGGTTCCATATAGACGTCTTCCTTCCCCCATGGGGGCTTCTCAGTGGAGGAATTTTATATTTGGGTGCTTGGGGAAAGGGGTGGCAAGTCATCACCGAAACTGTAATAATGGCAGTATTCAATGTGACATTTAGGAGATGAAGATGGGCAAGTTTTTATCTGGGATGTCATTTAATGTAAGCTGGCAGGTGCAATTCCACTTTTGCCTTTAGGATTGAGCTGGAGAGAGAGTGAGGCCGGGGAATCATAATTAGGCTGTGATTGCCTCATTGCAGAGGGTTTTAAAACTTTTTGCAGGGGGTGAATGTGTTATCTTGGTGTTTGCAGGAGTGAAAGAAATGTGCTCATCTCTCCTCCCCAACACAAAAACAAAAAATGATGGCAACAGTTGGCTGTTATTTTATTCCTTTTCCAAGCCCAATTAATAAATCTTACTGCTGCTTAATATATTTCAGTATTGTTCTGCCCTATTGATTTATTATTACAGTCTTATCCTGCCTTTTTTGCCTCTTGCAAGGAACCCCAAGCACTTTACAGGATCCTCCTCTTCATTTATCCTCACAATACCCCTGTGAGGTAGGACTGTGACTGGCCCAGAATGCTCTCTGGTCCACTGGAGACCAGAACCTGGTTCTGCTGAGACGCAGTCCAACACGTTAACTACCTTGGGCTGGCTCTCTTGTGCATATGTTATGTGTATTTTCTTTAGGCCAAGCAACTCCCATCATCCCCAGCCAGCACTGGCAATGGTTAGGAGTGATGTGACTTGCAGTCCAGGAGTACTGGAGGCCCACACATTTCCTGTTCTTGGTTCAGGCTGTTTATGTGTTCTCTGGCTCTATTTTCTACTGAGAAACACAGCCTATGGTGAAGAACACCCTTGATTTTCTCAGGGGTGCTGACAGTGCTAACTGGATTTCAGCATGCCTTCCTGAATGGAGGATGCACACAGTTTCCGCACTGTTTGTCTTTTCTCTCTTTATGTGGTTTGAGTTGCATCCTGCCTTTTTTCGTGCAAGGGCCCAAGCCGCCTCCCTCCTCTCCCTCGGAGCCTCACAGCAGCCCTGTCAGGTAGCTGCCATAGCGGTGATGAGGCTGTTTTCCATCCAGTAAACCTTGTTTCTTCCTCAAAGAGGAACTGAATTCTGCCACAGACAAACGTCACGCAAAGCTGTCCATTTGCATAGTTCTATCATTCATGAAGTTTCCGCAAGTTTCAGGGAGAAAGAAGGAACCAGAGCCAGTGTGGTGTAGTGGTTAAGCGCATGAGACGGCGACTTGGCTGATCTGAGTTCAAGTCCCCACTCATCCAAGCAGCCAACTGGGTGACTTTGGGTCAGTCACAGACATTCTGCCCAGCCTACCTCACAGGGTTGTTGTTGTGGGCATAAGATTGAGAGCAGCAGAAGGAGAATTATGTAAGCCATGTTGAGTTCTGTGTAAGAAAAAAGCAGGACATCAATTTAAAAAATTAGTATGGAGGCCATCTCTACCCACATGGATGCCTGGCGATCCCATCAACCTTCCTAATTCTTAAGAACTAGAAACTTGGCTGTGGGTTTGTTTTCTTCTGTGGGTTTCTTCTTCAGGTCCTGCTATGGGGCCATTGTGCTTGGAGGGGCTTAGTCTCTTTAACCTACTCTGGGCCAGAATGTGTGGGCTTTCACAGGGCACCTTGATCTGGCTCTTCCCAGCAGAAGCCTCCACTGCCGTTCTGCAGTGCTGAGCTGTTTTTCCCGCTTTGCTGCTGTTCCTTTTGGGGTGAAGGAAGGTTTCCCCCAGGAAATGCTGGTGGCCGACAGCCTTATTCTTTTTATGGCAGATGATGTGACAGGAAAAGTGAACATTCTGTTACAAACAGTACAGCTGGGAGCTTTGGATTATAGAAATCTGCAGCTTTCTGCAGTTACCTTCTGCTCCTTTCCATTCGTTCTGAAGCCTGACCTTCCCAACCAGGTGTGTGGGCATAAAACTCCATTATCCCCAATCTGGACTTGCTGGGCGGGGATAATGGGCGTTGTGTGCAACACTTCCAGAGAGTGTGAGATTGGAGAAGGTTGCTCTAGGCAATTACATAGAATTTACTGTGGGTTTCCAGTCAGGTATTTTTAAGATGGTTATAATCAGGCCAAAATTAAGGTTGCACACAGACTAAGGAGCAAAGAGGGATCTGAAAGTTCCACGGCTGACTTCCGTTGGGAAAATTCAACTAAGAGTGGGGAACTTGGCAGCTTCCCCAACCACACCCCGCCTTGAACCCAAACCTGTACTTCTGTTAGCCAGGCTTCCTTCTCTTTTCAGAACACACCGGAGGAGTAGGAACAGCCTTTTAAAGTTACAGAAGGGAACAATCACGGGGGGGGGGGGTGTGAGGAATTAAGGAAGTTCTGGTCTCCCCTCTGTTGAACTCGGCAGAGTTTACTTCAGGATACAGCTGCAATTATTTAGTTTTAATTGTAGAATAAACTGCAAACATAAGTAACCATCACGGCTAGCTGGTTGCTGCAAGAGAAGTCTGCTGAGGGATTCCTTAAGTCTCAAGGTTTGCCTTTTGGTATGTGACCTGTGAAGTTTCTTGCCTTTTCTAAAATGACATCCTCAGAGTGGAGCTAAAGCCCCTTTGCAGTTTTACAGCATTCAGACAAGCATGTGTTCTAGCGTGTGTGTATAGCCTAGAAGAGTAAAGTTGGAAGGGTCTATAATATGACTTTTGGTTTGGCAAGTTCCATGAATTTGTGCCTGAATTGATGGAGATGCTGCAGGGTTCTCTGTTGTCAATAGAAATGGAAGTCAGGACTGGAAAATGTGGGTGTGTGAGCCTGTGTGTACACACACACACACACACACACACACACACACACACACAGGACATGGATCAATTCCATCAAGGAAGCCACCGCCTGGAGTTTACAAGAACTCAGCAGGGCCGTCAAGGACGTTCGTTCATAGGCTTCCCTCAAGTCATTCAGAAATGGCTTGACGGCACACAGCAACAAATATTTGCATATGCCTTTTATTTATTTATTGCATTTTTACTCTGTTCCTATAGCCCTCCAGGGCTCTCTGGGCAGTGTACAAACCAGAACAAACATATAACAATACAAAGAACAACCATAAAATGTATACAGTAAAAATGCATCCAATAAAATACAGTAACAATACACTCTTAACAGCTAACTGCAACAGTCAATAACATTTCCTCAGGCACAGCAGTGATAAAACAGTCATTAAAATATCCTAAAAATATTAAATTAGCAGTTCTTAAAATGTCTAGAGAATAGAATGTCTTTGCCAGGAGCTGGAAAGATAGTAATGAGTGCCAGGCCTATTTCTCTGGGGAGCGTATTCCATAGATAGGGTGCCATCACCGAGAAGGCCCTTCTCCTGTTTGCCACCCCCCTCATTTCTTCAGGGGGCAGTTTCCTGGGAAGAGCCTCTGATGCCAATATTAGTGGTTGGGTAGGAACATATTAGACCACTAAAATGTGAGGCCAAAACATGTTTATAAAAGTAACCTTGTGCCCCCCAAAAGTGCAACTCCTGGAAGACCTCCCAGCATAACGAAGGGCCAGAGTAGTCCAAAATATCTGGAAGGGACCAAACTGAGGTAGGCTGCCGGACTCTGGTTAGAGAAACAGGCATGCAAGAGAAGGGCCACTGGCCAGTTGAGGAGCATCTGTGTCCCATGCAAAAGGTCCCAGGCTCAGTTTGCAGCACCTCCAGGTACGGCTGGAAAAACTGCCTCAACCCCTGGAGAGCCACTGCTGCCAATCCGTGTCAACAGCACTGGGCTAGAGGCGCTGTGGCTCTGACTTGCGAAAAGGCCACCTCCTAGGTCCAAACCTTTGTCCATTCAGGAAGCGCACAAAGTTTGGCCTAGTGGGGAAAGGTGCCTGGCTGTAGAGCCACAAACCACATGTTCAAATCCCTTCAGGTGCTCCTAGTGTCAGAGCCAGTGTGGCGTAGAGGTTACGAGCGTAGGACTGGGACTCAGGAGATCTGGGTTCTAGTCCCTGCTCGGCCACGGAACATACTGAATGACTCTGGGCCAGTCACAGACTTTCAGCCCAACCTACCTCACAGGGCTGCTGTTGTGAAGGGAAGATTTATATAAGCCGCATTGAGTTCCTTGAATGGAAAAAAGGAGGATAAAGATATAATCAAGAAATATACTTTCACCTGCTTATGTCCTTCAACCTTTTCCACCACACAGACTTGTGATAATTGAAACCCATGCATGTTTCCCAGAGTTCAACAAAAGCAGAATGGGATGCTTTTGTTAAAGCTTTTTTCCTTTTAAGATGGATTTATGTAGAATCGCTAGACCAGAGGATGCAGGCTGAAATTAAATGACCACAAGTTTTTAAGAAGTCTGAGAGCAAGACTGATTATTCATAGAACTGAGAACTTTGGAGGCCACCCAAAGTTGGTGGAAAGTCCCACTTCTGACTACTACTTTCAGCTTCGGAAGTTTCATGCTCACATGCTTTTTAGTCCCAGACCAAATGTTCCGATTTCTAGGTCCTTGGGATAATGTAGAAATCCCTTTCTGCAGGTACTGTGGGAAGTCTGAGAACTCAGAAGTTCTGCCATTAGAGATCTCTTCACTGTGGTGGAAACCTCCAGCCTTGGTGTCCCCATTAGAGGGAGAAGAAGGGGGTATACCGGCACAATAGGGGCAGGTCAAGGGACCTGGGGGTGGAAGCCCCCCAGCAAGCAAGCAAATCCAGCCGACCTGGGTCCCAATCCCCTTCCCCCTGGCCAGACCCCTCTTTCCCACTCACAGATTTGGTGGCCACCAGGGGTTCCTCAGAAGAGGAAAAAAGATGGAATATCAATGCAATGTCTTATTATTAATATGAAGGCCCACCAACCACAAAGGTACAAAGCAACAAGGCAAGTCTTCCCCAACCCAACTTCTTTCATATATTTTGGACTTCAACTCCCATTAGCCTCTGTCAGCATTGCCAATGGTCAGGAATGATGGGGGTTATAGTAAAAAAAAATCTGGAAGGCTCCAGGTTGGGGAAGGTGGCTTTCAGGCTTAGATTAACGCACTTAATCTTAAGTACGTTTAGACAGAAACAAGTTCCAAAACTCCCAGCATTCTCTATCCAGCTACAGTAGCTAAGGAATGTAGGTGTTGTAGGGCTTTTCCTTTCTAAACATGAGCAGGATTAAACCTCCAGAAAAAATTTTCCATTATTAATGACATTCCTATACTGCCGAATAGCCGAAGCTCTATAAGTGGTTTACAGTGGCAGATAAAAGAAATACAAAATGCAATGCAAAATTTAAATTCATATTCAAGACCAAATGTTAAAAGCTACAATGGCTTACACAAAGTAAATCGTGACCCATTAAGCAGTTGGCATAATGTCCCAATAAAATATTTAAATACCTTGTCATAGAGGATAGTCTTAATCTGGCAGTGA